TTTAGGTAATTCTACTCCGATCAACTCCAATTAGCTCGCTACTCATGACAATGATGCAGGATGGGTACATCCTGAAACAGATCGGAGTAGAATTACCTACTAATAAGAGTTTACTTTCTCAAAACTGCCCTTTACCCTGTTACCACATATGCCTTGTTCCCATAATGGGAACATTGTAAGTCATCAGTCGTGGTTTATAAGTCACTTTTGCGGGAGGAAATTGGTTAACATAAGGATGTTTTCTCAGTATGCTCACAGAACTGATCTTCAGTGTCGAAAACACACTTTCACTCCTATCCATTCGTCTCTTGAATTTCCTCAGTTCTTCTCGCTAAAATTCTGGAAATATGTTTGAAAAGGTGGAATTGCTGTGATTCAGAACGACTGAACGCTACGATGGGCTTTCATTACCGTATAGTTGTCTGTATGCGATATAAAAGCGTTAAAATATAAACCGTTTAGCAGGCTGCAGCTAACTGATTAATTATTAAAATAACTTTCAATTTTGTAAACAACTGATTGAAATCGCTGAGGCATTAAGAATCCCCATACGAATCCCCGTACGATTTCCCAACATGGTAAGCAATCTATTGGTTGTTTCAACCAAGTGTTTAAATCGCCTTTGTCAAACGCATCCGCCTGATTATGTACATTGACGATCGCTGGAAAGTGGACTACTACGAAACAATATCAGATTGTAATTCATTTCTACTATTATGGTTTAAGTAGAAAGAATTTTATAAATATATCACTTACCATGTACGCGAATGCCTGGTTTACCTTCCTTCAAAAAGAGATTCTCGCCATAGTCCTTTGCAGGACTGTGGTGCATATTTTTTCGACGAATAATTTCACGAGCGTGTCTAAGTGCGCCAATTGCCAGGTCCTCGTCAAATACTAAAGGCTTGCAACCATGCCATGCCCTTGCTCTAGGAAAGAAGAAATACTTCATTTGGATTTACCGTCAAAATGGAGTCAGATACTCATGGATTCGCTAAAGTTTTCATTGCCGTGTTTCGATCATCAAATATATTTTTTTGGCTTAAAGTCCGGGTTCAAAAACTGAAGCCCTGGTGTTATTCCACTCGGACTGGCATAAGACCTTTTCAGTATATAGTTCAGACTCACCACAGACGAAGTCCTTTTCTGGTGCTGATGTAAGATTGGTTAATTTTGAATAGCCTATGATTCACTTAAAGAAGGTATATGTAATTGAAAAGTAGTATTTTAAATTCTTCGAGTTATCATTTTGCCCTTCGAAAGAACCCCATTGTATATGTTAACCCGCATAGCCACGCAGACAATTGACGCAATTCGTAATCCTGATATTGGGAACATTTTTAAGGTGCATTGGGAAGCTTGGTGGGAGCAAGGACTTTGTTGCTGAAACTCAGTTGTCCCGAAGAAAATAACCGAAGGCAAATTAATGGCTGAAGATATAGCGATCGTCGCTTCTTGAAGATTACATATTTATAACTTCGATAGTCCGTTGTCGCTTTTCAAGTATTCATATACAAGGAAGTTTTTTTGGAGTTTTTTTAGT